CCTCGATGGTGGGAGTTCCCTCGCCCGCCTCCTCTTGATGAGCTGTTATATGCTGGCTGCGAGGGCTGTGAGGGCGGTGGAGGCGGCGGTGGTGGTGGAGGAGGGAACGAGAAGCCCGACATCAGTCTTATGCTCCTTCGAAACTCGTATGATCGGTCGCAGTATTCTCTCCTAGGCTCTGGTATACTGGTATAACGGTATACGTCGTAATATTCCCTGTTCAAGCGTCAGTCCATGTCCGTCAAAACGCTGGTGGAAGCTCGACCGTAGACTCCAAGCTATCTCAGAGCTATCTGAAGCTTCACTCAAACACAGCCAACTCACCTTCACGTCCGCGCCAACGACCTGTCTTCCACTGAATCAAAGAGTGTATATATCTTCTCAGCCGTCTAACTCGCTTTATCTCGCCTCTGCCCGCCAGTCTCTGCAGCTCTTCTATCCAAAACACCGTCCGTCCATGTCTCATCCTTGCGTGTATCGAGAGCCGGGCCAGCAAAAAAAATCTAGGAAAAACTTTCTTCCGCTTGAGGCTCTTGGAGATAAATTTGAGCAAAGACGGTGATGAGTACATGTAGATTATTAGGCGTGTAGATTATTCAAATCAAATTATTATCTGTTGTTTTTATTCAATTGATCTGGATTAACTCGAACTGCTTAATATATGTTGGTGTCTTTTGCTGGTCGAAGTTGTTTATATCTTTACCGAGAGTTTCTTCCTGCGGGTGAAGAATTAGCATCAGAAAAAAAGCCACTACCAGCCATCTACAGTTTGATACCACAATTATACCCTCTACAGAGTAGTCATGTTCATCCTTGTGAGTGATGTGCCTTGATATGCCTTGCTTGGAGCCTGCTTGATGCTTACTCGGGACAGACGACCATCTCGGACCTGGTGCAGATTGCGCCTGAAGACTTCTCGAAGCTCAGCGCAGTCGCTATCGAGGACAACATTAACGAGAAATACGCCAACAAGGTGAGTCTTGCAGCCTGATACCCTGATAGATGCAGCTGGGAAGCTAACTGAGGTCTTAGGTCATTCAGAATGTCGGTCTTTGCGTCGCTTTCTACGATCTGCTCGAGTCCTCAGACGGGCTGATCGGTCATGGAACTGGCCTGGTCAACGTCAACGGTGAGAAGAAGTAGTCATTACACGCTATTAAAGACTATGGAGTGCTAATTGATGGTAGTTAAATTCCGGATGATTGTGTTTCGGCCGTTCAAGGGAGAAGTCATCATCGGCAAGATCACGAACGGAACAGAGCAAGGGATCAAGAGTATGAAGCGGCCATTTTGATATTTATATTTATACTGACATTGACATTGATTGATATTTGATGCTAACGAGAGCAGTTGGGATCGAGTTCTTCAACGACATCATCGTCCCTCCAGACATGCTGCTGGACGGTGCTAGGTTGTATGTATCCCTTACAAGCCAGTGATATATAGCCATGCTGACTGCCTAGCAGTGACATGAAAGACCAGGTCTGGATATGGGACAACGGCGAGGGAGGCATCTTCTACTTCGACGTTGGTGAGACTGTCCGCTTCCGAGTCGAACAGGAGGAATGGCACGACCAGGTCCCCAGTGCTCCCGATCTGCAGGACGGCGTCGCTGCGCCGGACCGAAAGCCCCCCTACTCGATCGTCGTATGTCAATCTTCTCCATACACTACTTACTTGCCCTTCTACGCCACATTCAACATAGTCAAATAGATCTATTGTGTTTGACGATGCTAACTAACTGCTCAGGGCTCGATGCAAGTTGCTGGTCTCGGCCTGGTCGCCTGGTGGTCGTGATCCGGTGACTCCCAGACGCCCTTCAGCTAGTTTACCTGCCGACTTAGCTGGCTCAGCTAATGAGATGGATATTGGATAACTATGTGATGGAAACATGCGGTGTCAGCTTCCCCTCGCCCGACCTGCGTCTTCCCCCAGTCACTCTCTCGGCTCGGTCTTGAAGAGCATGGATTGGCCGCCCTCGCCGCCCGCGTCGCACAACTCAGGCCGACTTTGTGCGCATCAAGATCCCTGGACGCAGCCTATCGGAAACCTCGACCACACACACATCAACCTCCATACCCATCAACCTACATTACTTATGTCTCTCCCCGCCTGCAACAAGGCCTGCCAAGTGTGCGCTAAGAGCTGCCCGTGATGCGCCTTTGCTGCTCGTTGCTTCTTGCCCCGCGGTGGCAGCGATGACGATAGAGAGCGGCCGATTAGAAATCCGCCCTGAGCGGCTGTCGATGTCGGAATCTTAGCTGTCTTTTGGCTCATTTATTTACTTCCTCGCTTGCTTCGAAGGATGCTTCAGGTCGGACGGACTGGACTGTGGCTCCGAAAATCCAGCTGTTATTATTAAGAAGAAGGAGAAGAAGAAGCAAAGAGTCTGCGATGGAACCGACCCTGTTACTTCTTGCCTGATGGACCAGCAGGAATACGACTGGCTGGAGAAAATAGAAATCCAACCCAGGTTACGATGTGAGAGACTGTGGATATCAAAAGCAAAGAGTTTTCTATCCGTGGATCGGGCTTTTTCTGAATTTTTCGTTCTTATTTTTAATCAACTTGTATATAAACCGTCGGCTATCCTACTCCTTGCAAGTACCAAATACAATCCACCATCTTCACCAATCCGCTACCTACCAAATATCATCCATTGTCAGTATATAGAATAAGAAGAAGAAGAGAAGAAGAAGATGGCCACCACCGTCGTCCCCTCGAGCATCCTGCCCGCCCGACTGGAGCAGAAGGAGACCATCGAGACGCCTCCCAGAGCGCCCTCGCCCGTCCATCGCTTTGGCACCAGAGCCGTCCACACCGGCGCACCCATCGAACCGACCACTGGCGCCGTCATTGCTCCTGTACGTCTCTCTCTGTTGCTGTTGCTGTTGCTGTCGTCTTATATCCAATGCGCAGGTGCTGACCGGCCGTACAGATCTCCCTGTCGACCACCTTCATACAGCACAGCCTGGGAAAGCCCATCGGCGACTACGAGTACACCAGAAGCTCCAACCCCAACAGGTCCGTCTAATACTCTTACACTCTACGCTGCTTGCCAGAGGAAGACCGAGAATTGATGAGCTGAAGAGCTGAGCTGACAATGGCGCAGAGACAACTTCGAGGCAGCCGTTGCGGGGCTTGAGAACGCCCGCTATGCGCTCGCCTTCTCCTCCGGCTCTGCCACCACCGCCAACATCCTCCAGTCGCTCGCCGGCGGCTCTCACGTCGTCTCCATCTCGGACGTCTACGGTGGCACCCACAGATACTTCACCAAGGTCGCTGCCGCCCACGGCGTCGAGGTCACCTTCACGCCCACCATCGAGACCGACGTGGCCAAGCTGATCCGTCCCAACGAGACCAGGCTCATCTGGATCGAGTCCCCGTCCAACCCGACCCTAGGCCTCGTTGATATCCGCGCTGTCGCTACCATTGCTCACCAGCACGGCATCCAGGTTGTGGTGGACAACACCTTCTTGAGTCCCTACATCCAGAACCCTCTCGACCACGGAGCAGATATCGTCATCCACTCCGTCACCAAATACATCAACGGCCACTCTGTACGTCACCACTTGAAATCACCCAAACGGAGAAGAATTGTGCTAACTATGTTCTGCTTTCCAGGATGTCCTCATGGGCGTTGCAGCTTTCAACTCCGATGAGATCAAGACTAGACTCACCTTCCTCCAAAATGCCATTGGCGCCGTCCCCTCCGCCTTTGACTGCTGGCTCGCCCACCGCGGTCTCAAGACCCTCCATCTCCGCGCCAGAGAAGCCACCACTAACGCAACCCTGATCGCCCATGCCCTCGAGGCCTCCCCTCACGTCCAGGCCGTGAACTACCCCGGCATCGACTCCCACCCACACCGCAAGATCGCCATCAAGCAGCACCGCAACGGCATGGGCGGTGGCATGCTCAGCTTCCGCATCAAGGGCGGCCGCGAAGCTGCCGAACGCTTCTGCCAGTCCACCCAGCTCTTCGTCCTTGCCGAGTCCCTCGGTGGCGTCGAGTCTCTCGTCGAGGTCCCCGGCTCCATGACCCACGCCGGCATTCCCAAGGAACAGCGTGAGATCGCAGGTGTATACGACGACCTGATCCGTCTCAGCTGCGGTATTGAAGACGGCGAGGACCTCAAGGCCGATGTCCTCCAGGCTCTCGAGAAGGCTCTCGTCGCTCCAAAGATCAACAATGGAAACGGAACAAACGGCAATAGTACCAACGGTGCTTAATTCAGCTGACCTATGACCCTTTTCGGCATAATCTTTGCTCCCCCATTTTTACCTTTTTGCCCCGTTTTTTCATGGTTGTTTACGAGACCCACGCTATATATACGTTCATCATATACAGAGACACCGGCTAGGATACGGTTCATCTCCACCGTTTAGAGGAGAATATTAGATACCATCCATCCATGCATGCCCAAAACTTCTTTCATTCCAATGCACGATGCCCTTTTCTTATCCATACTGCTAGTGAAATAGAAGAAAGAAAAGAAAGAAAACAATAATAGAACATGTCATGACGCTCGAGGGCTGTTTGGCCCTTGTGTTTTTCTCCCGATAACTATTTCGTTGCTCCTTTTTAGTTAATGCTGCACCACTGTCGGATCCTGCGTTGTTCCTCGTAACACCAAGGTACGCCGTGCACTTGTGTTCTCGAAAAGCATGCATGATTGTAGCACTTATGAGGTGAATGTTATGCAGTGTATCCGGGAGAATCCATCAATCAGGTACGGGATTTCTAGTTCCATAGTTAACTCCGGCTTGGTCGAGTGTGACTGGCCCATTTTCGTATTTCAGCTGATGTTGAGCTCGGTGCAAGAGACTCGCTTTAAAGAAGACTATTAAGATTAAGCTGCTTAGCTACATAGGTACTTGAGCAATCGTAGAACCTATTTCCTATCGATGATGGTACGTACCTTGTGAGACTGTGGAATGCATTAAACAGGTCGATTTCGGGATTGCGGCTGTCGGCATTTAGCCCCTGACACCTTAATAAGTAGTCCACGGATACGTACCCAGGGAGCAATACACGACAGTAATTGAAGAACAAGGCAAAGTGGTATATTCGATGGTATAACTATGTACAGGCATAACGCCATGGCCTCTCAAAGACCTCGAAGTTCCCCTTAACTCTACTGACACTCCTTGGGAACAGCCTTGCTGCCAGTTCGGTTCTTAGGGTCGTACTTGGCACCAGTGCCCAATCCACGCTTAGCAAAGGCCTTCCACAGCTCACACTTGTTAGCACCCTTGGTGAGGTTCATATCAGCATCGAGAATGGCGTTGCGAGCCTGCACGAAAGTTGGTTTGCATGGTTGACTGTGTTTTTTGTGCATTAGTTTTACCTATAGAGAAGATAATGCAGGGAGGGATCAACGTACATTGCCATTCCATCGAGAACAAGCTTCATGGCAAGGTATTTACCATCCTTGGGGACACCGTTTTCGAACACGGGCGTGGGTCCGTCATTCTTGCCGTGCTTATCGATCAAGTTCCATAGCACCTCGTAGAGAATAGAGCACCATACGGTTCCGATAGCGTGCACTTCGTTATATTTGTTACAGGATGTGTAGACCAATGGGTTGGTCTGAAGGCTGGTGGAATATGGGAACATTCTGTTACCCCTGGGGCTGTTGTTGACCCATTCGCCATGGACGTAGTTTGCGTTGCGGTTATCGTTTGGCTTGAGGCGGATGGCGGTTGCGAAGAAGTCACCCCATCCTTCACCCATGCCGCCGGACTCCATGCCGTTCAAGCAGGCTGAATTGGCAGGGCCACCACAGAGGCGGTTAGAAACTAGATAGGACGAAATTAGCTCAAATCAAACGGGCGAGGGAGGTTGATATGCGAGTAGTTAGAGAGAGAGATTGTACGTACGGCCGTGGGTGTACTCGTGGATAACGGTACCGGCTTCGAAAGAGGAGTCGCGAGCTGGTTTGGCCTTGGTCCAAATATACACTCGCATACGTCCAGGCTGGCCATCGGGTGGAGTAGCGAAATTGGCATTGTTAGTACCAGAGCCATCCTGCGCATTGAGAATGACAAAATCACCGCCCTTACCACCCTGGTTGCGGTTGTTGACTTGGAAGTTACCAGCCTTCTCGGTAAAGCCAAGCATATAGTATAGGTCATGTACCATGTTGGCAGAGTAGAATAGCTGGGTAACTGACGCATCAATATATGACTTTGGAGGGCTCATGTTTGGCGCATATGGATATTCAAATTTGAGGTTCTTGTTGTTTGGCCTGTAGTTATTGAGGTAATCCGATCCACCATCAAAGTTAGCCTGTGCAATTGCGTTGTTACCCCTAGTTGTGGAGTAATTGTTCTTTCCGTCACTGATCCATGTGAATGGTGAGGCCTTCAGATTCCATGGGTTCTGAAGAACCGCGCGTTTCCCTTCAGTTGGATCAGGGACTGGCCAGGGGCTACCAGACAAATATAGTTAGCCTCTATTAATTTTTTTTCGTTGTTTGGAGCTAGAAATTCTCAATCCAAACCGTGTGTTGAAAGATCGGGAGAGAAGCATACTAGACTTGGTAAGTTGCATGCGAGACGTAGTCAACAACGTTGTGGACTTTGTCAGTGTCTTTGGCATCAACATAGGATAGAAGCCAGTTGTCACCCATGTCAGTCTCCACTCTCCAGGTCAGGGCCAGGGTTCCATCTTCTTTGGCCATATAACAAAGCTTGCCCTGTGGGTCGGAAAGGGCTCCAGAAGTTCCCATAAACATAACTTCATGCTCATTCATAGACTTTATCGTCGCTTTATCGGCATTGATAGGCAGGTTAAGGGCCTTGCGGGCGCCATGGAGAGCCTTCATAGGATCGGAGAAGTCACGCTTCTCGACTGGAGCCTTATCGGGTGTAGGGTTGGTGTAGAAGGAGTTTCCAAAGGAAAGCACTTTTCCGTCTTTGCCAATCTATTTTTGGCTGATGAGCCGCATTGGTTTGAGATAAATGATTGTAGAGCTTGGTTAAACTTACGTTGACGTTAAAGTCAGAGTTGTCGATATCCATGCCATGCATGGTCTGGCGGAAGTATACATGGCTAATTCCAGATTCACCGACGTAGTGATCATCAACCATGCGGAAGGTCACGCCAGGCATCATGCGCTTGACAACTTCTGTAGCAGTTTCCACATAGTTACCGCCACTGAGAGAGGAAATGCTGGGCTGTTCGAGCTTCATCTCATCTGAACTCATGTAGCTGGACCTGTCAGCCATGCGGTAGGCATTCAAGTCTACACCTTGGCTAGTGAGGCTTGTGCTTGGCTGGGGGTGTGCGAGTACACGGAGTGGCAGGCTAAGAAGCCCGGCGGCAAGGAGAAGGCCGTGCATGATGGGGATATCAAGAGAACCTCAAAATAAAGAAACTAGTAAGAACTGGGCTAAGAAGATCCAATGCCCTGTCAATACGAGAGGACTCATTATTGTTATATTCTAGAGGAAAGGCACCTGTGATTTATATAGGTTGAAATTTCTCTCGCTCGATAGATTCAATGCATAGAGCTTCTCAATGTTTGGTTCTTCTCCCCTTTTCTAGGACTGGGGGGATGCTTGAATGACATGTTGATCAGGCATCTCTTCACAGGCGCACTGGAAGGCCTCCATCGCAAGGGGGGTGTGCTGCGCCGCATGTTTCCGGCCAAGAGCGTCTCCGTGCTCGCTGATACATGCCGATCAGCTCTCACGAGGAGTTAGGATGAGGGCAAAAAACGAAGTGATTGATATCCATATACCATGGAGGGTCGTATATCTCGGGAGGCAAGGCCGGTTATAGCCAGGGGATGTACTCCAATGCCATAGCTCCCGCATTAGATCGTGGGGTAATGACCGCTTTGCATGGTATAAATATATTATAATAGGCCATCAGGGTGGAATAGATATATGTATCTATGCATTTTGGATGCGAGATGATGCCCGTTCAACTGGGAAAAGGCCTGTTCGACCTGTTCTCCACAAGGAGAAGACAAACAGGCCAGAAACGGGATGTAACCCTCTAACAAGCTTGTTTTGTCGGTCGAGCAGGGGAAAAATGGTGGGAGAGACCGAGCAAAATTGCAGGCATAGCCTTGCTTATGAGCGCAGACAGGAAATACTGCATTTCGGCCGTGGAGGACGGACGGATAAACGGCCTTCGCCTTGGTATCTCTTTAGTCGTCCACTGTTGGAGCCGCGATCGAGATGTGGATGTGATCAGCCGCCAAGCTCAGCTCCCCCTGAAGACGAAACATTCTCGAACCGAACCTCTGACTATTCGTGGGATGTGATACTGGAGATGTGATACCTCTGTCTGACGGCCTGACTTGCTGGATAAGATCACTGCAAGGCACGAAAAAGAAGACATTCGCTTTTGACATGTTTTAGCGCCGAGGGTCGTGGGGGGGTTTCTCGCAGGAGGGCCCTGGCAGGTTTCATGCTTCATCAATGTATACCAACCATGGATGGTGGGCTTACACTGGCCCGAGGTTGTAATGTGAAAGGATGATACATGTCGTTGCAACCAAGTACTTTGAAGACATGGAGATGACTGCTCAAATTAGCTTGATACCCTACCGATGACCATCCTACCGAGATATGTATGTAGGGATATCACCATACGATCTCACCCTCAAAATCTCGCATAAAATCTTCTACCAATCGGTTTAGCTGGTTGCTTGTCCCGAGAAACCATTCGTACCCTGCCGAGTCCCCTGTTTAGAGCCATAGCCCCGTATCAATACGGAGAACCTCCCTGCACACTGGACAAGGCTGCAAATCCCGTTTGACCCGGCCGTTCTCTGTACTTCGAGGAACCATGTACTCGAGGAGCTATTATGCGTACCTCGACCTCCTCGGATGATTTCTTTATGCCTCCGCGGAAATGAGTGGCGCTGTACCCGAGTATAGCTGCGTGGCTGATAAAACAAGGTCGCTCTATGCAACATTCAGCCCAAATCCCGAGGATGTCTTGTCACTGTCCTATGCATGTAATAAAATAGTTCTGTCATGCGAAGTTGTTTAGTATAAGGGAATGTCCTGGTAGAGTGATGGGAGCAACTTCATGGCTATTCTTGTCCATACGCTTGTTTGAAGAGCTGAATGTTGGAGATGGTAGTGGCGGCCCGTAAATCAGACAGTCAAGTATGCTGCAAAAGCTGTACTTGAGAGTTAGTTATTTTCTACCCATGATCTCTTGATGGTATATGCTACCGCGGTTGTTAACTGTGTAAGCTTTCGTCTTTGCTTCAATAGTTGGACAGCTGATGTAGTGGCTACCAACGCGGCTCGGCGTGCTCGTAACGATTCTAACCGGCTACAGAAGTCTTAAACCATGGTCATGGTTTATAGCAATATCACACATCTCCCTAAGCTTTGCCCATTAGTGTCCCGTCCATGTCATCTTTACTGGGCTACCGCTTCTGGCGGCCTTCGCCAGTCATGACTATAAATTCCCCCGCATTCGGTCCAGTTATCGAATTCGGTACTGTTGAATGCGTTTTTATGGCCATCATTCTCATCTCACCGCCGACTCTACGGCCACCAAGCATTAAATCATAGCGGCCAAGGATGGAACACCTATTATTGTGATCAAATGCGCCCTTGGCTAAATAGTCGAGGAAAAGGGCTAACCAAGCTATCGATGTGGTGTCTCTGGATAGGAGTAACGATAATGCGTCAATCAACAATGCCTGTCTGACTCTCTGCTCCATTGTATGTGCGGACCCAGTAACGTGGCATAATATATTCAAGTAGAGATACAGCGCGTCTGCATCCGACATATAGATATGAAAGAAGATTGATGGCTGAGAATCAAGATATCGATCTCGATATATTGGGGCCTCAGTTGTTTTTGGATGAATGCGTGTAGCATAGACACTTCCCACTCTGAGATAAGAACAAAAGCAGTGACAGACTGTAGGTCGGCAGAAAGTGGGAATTCCAGTCGAATAAGATGGGAAGATGACGAAGGATAATGTTGTCCCTTACAACCGAATTTTGCCCTGGTAGTATATGAAGCGTGAGTATTCTCTGAGGTAGGGGGTATTCTTGGATATCAGTCCTGAAATCTCCCAGCACCAAGGAGGACTCCGGCGTTATTGTTTTATTTGGTATAACTGCCGTTGCTCTCTCTGTATAAATTGATACCTTGCTATCCCAGACATGAAATTTAACTAGCTATCCCAGTCAGTGCGGTCAGTTCATTGCGTCTTGGGTCTCCCCCGTTCATCTTAGGCGAGCTGATGCAGCATTGGCATTCGGTTTTGCCTTTTATATTAGATCTATCGGTTGGCGATGGGCACACGAAGTACGCCTTGCCTGGCAGCGAAGGCAATATGAAATATATGTATCATACACGTCTCATAAGGTGGACTTAAGTGATGTGTTTGTTGCCAAAACAGAGAAAAGTTGAAAGTCGCGATAAAGCGTGAACGTTAGACTTTCGGGAAGTATATTAATAATCATGAAATAGCTCCTTATGTAATTCTTGGCATCAACTCTCCTCTGTAAGATTGAGGCGCCGATGAAGTCCTATATCCTTCTAAGGAACCTTTCAATGGTTGCTAAATATTCTGCCTCTTCAGCTCAGAAGCCTGTTTTAAGCGTCTCGGGCCAATATAGTTATGCTGTCCAAGGAATCACAGCCGTCTGCTACTCATTTGCATTGATAAGCAGTCTTATAGCGGCATTAATTTTCAGCTAGTAAATAGAAATGAGTCAGCAAACTCTAAGGCGGCAAGATATATATCCAAATCAGGTCTAGGTTCAGGCTAAAATTTCACGTGACGCATATAAATTAGTACCTACGAGAAATTGAAATATATTGTCAATCATGATAACACATCTTGGGAATGGAGCTCTAAAATATTTGATAGAGGGTTAATTTAAGATTATTTACACGATGGCGTCAACTTTTACTTTTGGCTTTGGAGGTGACGATGTGGAAGATTTAGAGAACATATCTGACACTGACCAAGGAGTTCCGAGTGTTCAAGAAAACAAAAGTGATCTGATATTCGATAATGCAGAGGTGCTTAACCTTGAGGATATGGTAAGTATCATTCTTATACCCAGTAAGAGGTGCCTTAGGATGCTACTAGGGAAGTGAGAAAGAATAATGGAAGACTTCAATATACTGTAACGATACCTGGTTCTACCGTATTCAGTTTGCTGCAAAAGCCCTAATCTAATTTATTTTCTGTCCACGGCTATACCAACAAAATTTGGTCAACCCATTACTAATTCTTTTCTATAGCTTGCTTCTCTACCGTCACAGTTGGAGTTCAATACCCAATTAATAGGACCAAAATTGGAGGAGCCATTTTTAGTTGCGCGCCGACAGTTAATGGATATCCGCGTTCAACTAATGGCTGAACGGGATATGCTGAACGAGGGTGAAGATTTACTGGCTGGTTTACAAAAGGATGACATTAAACCAACTGTATATGAAGGAGGATTTAAAACGTGGGAATGTGCCTTAGATTTGGCCGCTCTCGTATCTCACGGCCTAGAAGGGTTTACACACTTGGATGACCAAGATGAGCTCAATATAATAGAGGTAAGATATGCGATGAAGCTTGCTTTGCGTGGCTTCTATAAAAGCCCTCGGTCCAAATGTTCCTGGTACTAATATCAACAGCTTGGAGCCGGAACTGGGATGCCTTCTCTATCGCTACTTCGGTGCTTCTTAGTCCAGGGAAAGGAAAAGCGCCGAAAAGTACACTTCATACTTGCTGATTATAATGCTACAGTCTTGAAGTTGGCTACTTTACCGAACCTGCTACTGACCTGGTATATTACTCGAAGGAGCCCACCGGAAGGAACTAATATCCAGGCTAATCCTGCTGTTGATCGTTTGCTGGAAATTGATAGAAGCCTTCTGGAAGACTTTGTTCAGGATCTTTCGGATCATGGAATCAAACTTTCGTTCATATCTGGGGGTTGGTCCCCTGAGTTTGTCGACCTGTGTCTGGGCAAGCAGCACAACATGAAAGACGAGGCGATGACAGACAGCCAGCAGACTACAGCAGGGCGCAGGACACTTATCCTAGCCAGTGAAACTATATATTCTCCGCCTTCATTACTCCCATTTACAGAAACACTTGCGTCATTAATGCGCAGGGCGCTATCGCACGACAGAACAAAGAATCATACAGGGGATCCTCCAGTTCGAGCGCTCATATCAGCGAAGAAAGTCTACTTTGGTGTTGGCGGAGGGGTTAGCGAGTTTCTAAGCACTCTTAGGGACGTGGGAAGCAGTGATGAGTTCAAGGCCTTAACTAAGTTAGTGATCTCCGACGCGGGAGTAACTAGGACGGTTCTGGAGATCCTCCCTGAGCTACCAATAGGTTGACTTGAATGGCTTGCAGAATAAAGCCAAAAAAATACTGAAAAGCATATCTTGGGCTTCGAGCGGGGAGTGTATCTGGTGTATCTGGTTTCTAAAGTACTTGTGATGGTGTCAATTAATTTTATTTATTTCTTTTTTACATTTGGCATGTGGAAGTGCAGGGTATTGCTGTACAAAGTACGTGTCTTCCCTGGATGACCAATGGAACAACCAGCGCCTCGGGTATGAAATTTTGAATACAGCCGGGCGCATCCAGTGCTCAAAAGAAGAGACAAAAGAAACCGATGTTTGTCATATGTACAGTGAGTCATGGTCACCACGCTCTGAGTGGTAAAAAATTGCTGGATCTAAGAAGGGAGAACACAACACATAATATAATCTAAAAATATCTTCCATCTTCGTACAGAGACTGAACCTTTCCGTCCTTCATGCGTCCTAATCTTGCCTTTTCCATGTCTGCTTGACGTTTTTCGTAGTGAGCCACGACGGCGGAGAGGTCTCCGGACGAGTTACCAGGGGACATGTTTATGGGAGAGCCAGTGTTAAATAATCTGGAACAGCAGAAAAAAGAAGGATAGGTTAGTGACGTGCAGATAATCGCCCGAGAAATTCAATCGGGATAAATGACGTTATAACGCAGCATGTTGTTTTTGACGGAAGATAGGCTTGCAGAGCCGTAAGGATATGCAAGGCAACGTACTCGGGGAAAGACATGTCAATAGTCAGTGGAGGATTCTGACTGTGGAACAGATGGCGGTCTGCAGCTGCTTCTTCAATTGCCCGGGTGTGGAGAGCGTTGTTTCGTTCCAAGACAGCTTCGCTCGGAGTGAACGTCTCGATAACGCGGGTTAACCATGGCTTTGAGCTGGCATCAGACGTGGAGAACTTGTACAGTGCCAGACCGATGGGGATCGAGGCGACAGAGATGTAGAAGCCGCGCTGTATAGTATCAGGCATGAAGTGTTAGTAGGGCATGTATTTTCGATCATGTTTATAGAAGACCGGCCAATTGAAACTCTCATCCGCCACATAGCTGCCGGGGCAGCGTCTACATGCTCCCCGCGCCTTGGATTATTCTCATTCTTTGGGCCGAGATAGCTATCATGGCAGCCAGGGATGGAAGAAGGGGGGAGCAAGACGTACGCCGAAGTGTTCATTGACAGGTTCATGGTGTGCAGAGTGCGAGTCGAAACGGCGGGGCTGACGCTGAACCAGGGCACGCCTCGCCGGGGCGGCAGCTCTCCTGGCAAGAAACATGTCTGACGCTTTCAATTGGAGCGAGAGCAAGGCCTGGTCGACGGTGTCGCGGAAATGCGTCTGTTCCAAGTCCTTTTTGCTGCTTGAAGCTGCGTTTCTCTCGGATGAGGTTGAGATAGTAACACGTGACTATCCATAATTAAATGATTACTAAGCCTAACGCCAAGAAAAACTTTCGTCTTTTGCTTTTTTCGACTTCAACATCAAAAGCAACAAAAGCGACAGACGAAGAGACAAGAAGGTACAAGACTCTACTCCGTTTCTTACTTTGCAAAGCCGCCTCGGCGAAGACAACGAGGAAGATGGCGGAAGATGCAGAACGGGGAGGCTGGGAGTCTCCCGTCGTCGCCTCGCGGGCCTGATTGGCGTTCGTGGGCGTGAAAAAAACGAGGCGGGAGTCGAGATGGAGCTGCTGCACGCACAATTGGCAGGGCGACAGGCGGTTTGTTGTCGTTTGGGCTTCGATGCTGCTGCAGTTGACTGCTTTGAAACGCATCTATCCCTTGACTCTCACACGCTGAATGGCCAGTCAGAGGGAGGGATAGCCTGCTCTCGTCGTGTTGGCATTCCTTCCAGTAGTCTGAACGGGGCTCCGGGCAACGGTTGTTACTATGTAACGACTCCCTGCTGTTGCGACCGCCTGCATCCACATCGCTACCCGACTAATGCATGAAGAGTTACGGTGGGCAGAAGTCGTACAGAAAAATAGGTTTTGTAAAGTGATATTTGGTGCCCAATTTTGCCAGGGGGACCGCCGCCATTGGCTTCTCGTCGCCTTCATCCTGGGTCTGGAGTGAATTGTTGCTGGATCACCCCTTGACGTGGGTGCAGTCCGATGCATTGCGCGCACTAAATTTTGGCTGGCTCTCTTGTTTCCCAGCCGATACCCTTGAGTCACCGGTTCGGTGAAGTATTAGCTGCTGGGACTGTGCCCTCCTCGAGCAGGTTATTACTTGGTCGATTTCCGCCTGAGAATATTTCCTCCCCCAGAAATATTCTCATTCACTTTGCATCCACGACGCTTTGATTTTTTGCATTTCACGACACCAGCGTTCCTGTCTTATTGCTCTTTTCTGTACTTTTATCCTTCTTTTAACCCTTAATATTCGCATCCTTTCTCTACCTCTCTTTGCGATTATCGTCTTTCGGAATATCCACTACATCTCACGGCATTATTCTCATTACGACTTCTATCAACGAATTTTCTCATTGACGGCCGAAACCGGAGTTTCATTTTCATATATTTTGCCCAGGGTCCTTTATACTCTTTACATTGTCGACTTCGCCTGCTTCAAGGATACCATTGAAGCACTAGGAAAAAAGTTCCCGTCGCTGAAAGCAATTATCCCAACGTCTTTGTCAGATTCTGCACTTCTTTGCATATCGCGAGAACGTTAGAATCTCGGTGAACAGTCAGAACGAAAGTTGCACAAACTCTACGAAACCAGTCCATAAGTAGTGCTTTGTAACAATGGCTAAGAAGGGGGCAAAGAACAAAGACAAAGATACCAAGGCCAAGGGTGGCAAGGGAAAAGCATCGAAAAAGCAACAAAAACAAAAACAGGAAGAGGAGGAAGAGAAGGTTCAGACCGAGCAGCAAGGTCAACAGCCTGAAGATGATGATCAAAGCACACCGGTAGAACCGGAACAAGCTCAGGCACAAACCGAAGAGCCGGTCGAGAAACCTGAGGAAGCCTCGAGGCCTGATGAGGCAGAACAGCCTGTTGAAGGCTCAAAGCTGGAGGAAGAACCGAAACCGGAGGCAGAGGTAATACCCGAAGAGCCAAAGGTCGAGGAGGAACCTAAAGCTGAAGAACCAAATGTCGAAAAGGAACCAAGCTCTGAAGAGCCCAAGCTTGAAGAGGAGGCTAAGGTCGAGGAGGTGACGGCTGAGGAACCCAAGGTTGAAGATGAGCCTGCAGTTGAAGAATCACCATTAGCCGATGATATACCCCTGGTTGAGGAAGTACCTTCAACAGAAGAAGCTGCTCAGGTTGAAGATGCACCTCCCGCTGAGGAAATTCCACTAGTTTCAGCTGAGGAAACACCTCTTGTCGAGGACACGCCACTGACCGAAGAAACACCTGCCACTGAGGAAGCACCGCTTGTCGAGGTCACACCATCGCCCGAAGAAACACCAGCCACTGAGGAAGCACCACTTGTCGAAGACACACCATTGGCCGAAGAAACACCAGCCACTGAGGACACTCCAATTCCTGAAGATGAGCTTAAAGCCGAAGGCGAAGTTAAGATAGATGAAGTACCTCAAGTGGAAGAACAGGTTGCCGAGGAAGTACCAAAGGCTGAAGACCAACCAGATGTAGTCGAGGAGCCAAAGCTCGACGAACCTCAACCGGCTGAAGAGATTGTTCCTGTTGAGGAGACTGTTCCTGTTGAGCAAGTAAGCCCCGAAGATACTACGCTCGAAGAACCAACGCCTCAAGTGACCGAACCAGAAGCTGAGGAGAAGTTCGAAGAGGCAACACTTGAACCGGAGGCAGAGCTAGACGAAGACAAATTTGAAGAAGCAATACTAGAGCAGGAGGTAAAGCCGGAGGAAGAAGTGGTTTCAGATGCCGGCCCACTACCGGAACAGGCTCAGCCAGAAGAAGACAAACAACCTGAACAAGTCACTGAGCCAGTGAAAGAAGATGAAAGAGCGTGGGATGAACAAGAGCAAGAAGAGCAAGAAACTGTCATTGAGGCTCCTATTACACAAAAATCACCTTCTCCATCTCCAGCTCCCTCGCAAGCCCAGTCTTCTCACTCGAAAAGCCCATCCAAACCTCCTTCAATCATCCAGAGCCTCCCTCCGCTGCCAAGGTCTATTACTTCTACACCATCAAACTTGAGCTTGAGCCAAGCTTTCCCATCTCCAAAGCTCTCCTCATCAGGCAGTCAAAGCAAGCTTGGAAGAAAGGCCACCAGCACGGTTGCAGGGGATGAATTCCAAGAAGCCGAAGAAGTAGTCCCTACACTCACCACCAATACTTCACATAAAGGTCGATCGGCTTCACCTCGGTCTCAGTATGATGTAACTGACAGTGACTACCAAACTGCCTACGGATCTGCCAAAACACCAACCACCAGGGCAGTATCGAACGGAGCTTATTCACCCTCAGACGTCCCATTGCCTTCACCTTCTGTATCAGAAGCGAGGACAAAATCTGCTTCTCCCCCAGGGCCTTCTTATGAATACACCCACCAGCCGCAGCCAATACCTGCAGCAGCACCACACTTCGCCTATCCCTATCCCTACGCCCATCTATACCAGCAAAACTCCAACTACCCCAGCAGCCCGGTCATGGAACAGACGCCAGCAAATGTGGCTACTCCCCAGTACTCACCTGTCATGCACCCTTCTCCACAGCCCAACTATGCAACTTCTTTCGGCCAGCAGCAAGGAAGGAGGCCCAGTCGATCATCGAGAAGCCAATATGACTACTATTTCGGAAACACTTCTCAATACCGTTCTGCTCGGGAGTCAATGTCTCAGCCTACCGAGAATGGAAAACCGCACTTGAACGGTGAACGAGATCTTGCTGATACGGTCAATCTTTTGCACCGCATACAGAACGTTATCCCCGATCTTAACAAGCTTGTTGTCAGCTATCGTGAGGCACAGAGCCAATTGTCTGCCCGGGAAGCAGAAAACAAGCAGATCGAGGCCCAGCATGAACAGGCACTCCTCCACAAAGAATACTATATTGAAGCGTTGCAGAACCAGATGAGAAAGGTTGCCAACGAACATGCAGAGGAATGCTCAAAATTGAAGGGTAAGATAGGCGCCCTTGGAGTTGAACTCAGCGATCTGCAAGAGAGAAACAGAAATACAGAGGATACCCTGGTTGAGACTCAAAAGGCAAGGGATGAGCTGCTGCGTGCCCGAGACGAACTGGAGCGCGAAGTTGATCAAATCCAGAAAGAGATCGAAGCAGCCCGTGAAGCACATGAGCGTGAAATTATCAGGCTCAGAATGGAGGCCGAGAAGTCAGAAGAAAAAGCACTTGCTGAGCAGAAGGAAAGACTAGAAGATCTCTTCCAGGAAATCAAGAACGAAGACGACAGGCTTGCTGCCGAACATCTCAAGGCTCGTGAGGACGAGCTTCTGGGCCAGCTTGCTGCCAAGCAAGAAGAACTGGATGCCAACGAGGCGGCGCTCAAGTCGACTATGGAAGAGCTTAGAGTTACCCAGGAAGAGCTGGAAGGGAAGAAAGCTGAGCTGGCGGAGAAATTCTCGGAGCTCGAGGCCCTCAAAGAAGAGCTGGCAAACACTAAGAGCGAACTTGAAGCCAAACAACAAGAATGCGAGTCGAGGCAAAACGAGCTTGAACTTACTCGAAAGGACCTTGAAGAGACCAAGCGTCACCATGAGGAGGAGATTGCCTCCTTGAGAGACGCATTGGAAATCCAAACCAATAGTGTCAAGGAAATCAAGGAGCGTTTGGCCAACATGGTCCTCGAACACCGCAGCCAAGAGGAGACCTGGCAGAAAGCTCGCGAAGGTTACGAAGCCCAGCTTAGCGAGAAGACCGAAGAACTGAAGCTCAGCAACGAGGAGAAGGAGGTGCTCGAACGAGAAGGTCTGGCGAAGGAGGAAAGACTCCAGAGCATAGTAGAGGAGATGCGCCAGACCCATAATAACCTGAACAAGGACCGAGAGAGATTGAAGAAAACCCTACATAGTCTTGGAGAAGCGACAGACATGAAGATGAAGGGGGACTCGTTCTTGTAAGTCAGTCGTTTCGGTGTATATGAGATATGATTGTATTGCCTTTGCCCACGAATTCCCTTTTTATGTCGTTGATGTAGATGGCAGGCTTCAGTAGCATGAGGTGGGCCAGACGAAAAGTCGCTGCATGTTTATTTTACACTCGTTATTTTTCTTTTAATATGTCGTTTGCACAATAATCAACATCTTTTTCAGGTTACATGATCTAATTCATTCTTCCTTTCTTGATCTAGCATTGAGTCCTTTGCCGAATTGTCGCGGCTTATCATTGAGGTATCCAAGACATACTTCACCTACCTCCCTATTGAGCCGCCGCCAGATATTCTGGCCAAGATCCCATCTGATATCCCGCAATTTTTGGACAATACCCCAGCATCTCGAGAGCTTCGCGCTGCCTATGTGCAGCACGTTATCTCCAAGACCCTGACCTATCGGATCTTCCAGCCTTTCTTGTTTACTTTGGGAAGACGATATGATAAGGCAGACACCTTTTTCCAGATGCTTTCAATCGACATTCGTCGCAAGTCCGTCCGGCGCGAAGCCTTCTGGAGACAGCAGACACTTAAGGCAGCTTACACCACCTCCGACGCCAAGCAGGCCATCAATGTCGTTGCTGCTGTCATCGTTGACGAGATCGTTGACCATATCCGCCATTTCACCGATCCAACTCACCTCGACGCCCTGTTGACGAATGTCCGAAAGATCGTCAAGCTCGCAGCAGAAACATGGCGATTGGCTCGCGTTGAACGAGAGTTAATCACAGCCACTATGCCGTCAGCCGAGGATGAGCAGACTGTGAACGAAGAATGGGAAGAGTTCGACTATGAGTCAAATGCACCACTGCCAGGGGGCGAAGGCTCAGTTGAGCCGCCGCTGACACCAAAGAAGTTCCGCCGCCCTCTTCTCCGAATGCTTCCTCGTATCTTCCGCGGAGCTGTGCATGAAGACTTCCTGTCCGAAGACGACCATGAGAAGGCGTCTCCCTGCACGTACCTCCGGGGAGTTATCTTATACAGTGACTCTCCTTCCGTCTTGGCCAGACGGGCTGAGATGTTCAAGAAAAAGCCAGAGGCGCCTGGAGTGATTGACGATGCAGAAGATGCGCGACTACGAGCCGCATCTGCCACTCCGCCTAACGGGTGCGGGAGGAGCCCTTCCCCGAAAAGCCCGCTTGGGAACCGATCGCCTAGATCAAGGAGATCCAGGGAGAGGACCTTCAGCGGTGATTACTAGAACAAGGATAAGTCGGGATAAGGCTGAAGCCAATTGCCACCCGTCATCAGCATTTATCATGTCATTGCGTCAATAACTGTTTCAATGTGTTTCATGATCTCGTATTCAATTTTTCTTTCTTTCTGTCTTTCATTCTTTCTATTTCTTATGTCTCCAGATCGCATTTCATATCTGATATTCGAAGTTTGACGACACGATATTTCTTAAGTCACCCTTGAAGCGTTCTCTTATGGTGTTTCTGTTTCTTTGCATAGCATTGCACGTCTATAGGATATGGCACTTGGTAATTGTACAATTGACGACAGGGTTCGCCATGGCCACGGAGTTGGAAAGACGAGATAATGATTTCTTTATTTTCTTTTGATATGCCTTACATCTCCTATTACATCTCCTATTAAATTAGCTAGCTGGTTATCACAAGCCACTCCCAGAGGTATACAAGATTGCTTTTCAGTTGTGACATCCTCGCCCCTTTCCTACACCTGTGGCGCAGTTATGGCTCTATCACCATCGTCGGCCACTTTCCATCTGCCTCGATCTGCCTTGGGAGATAGACGGGAAGAGCGGCTTAGTTGCCGGCCCGCCTTGACCTCAGACACACCAAGACACACCTTATGCGAAGTCTTCCATCCTTCATCTGATCTAAATGCCCCTTCCGAATGACCCTCAACCGTCAAGGCAAACACGGGAGCCTCTTCCTGCCATCCTCTCTTCTCTTTTCCTTCCTCCGTCCGCGGCCCCTTTCTTATATAGTTAAGGGCCGACAATAAAGTAAACTAAGGTTGCGGGTCATGTGACGGCCCGTGGTTTCCCAAGTCTTAATTTCGACGTCCAACATCGAACGTCAACTTCTTGCGGTGCAGAAAGTAGACAGCATCAGAGCAGAAGACAGGGACGAAGAAGAAGAAGAGTGGAAGAAGAAAGGTGGTAAGGCGAATAATGGGCCTGGCTCTTCTGGCATTTATGATATGACTGCATGAAAAGGCCAAAGAGCGCACTGGGCGTTTTCCCCGAATCAGCCGCGTGCTGCGCCATTCCTTCGCATTTGCTGCTGCAAGGACCGACAAGGAGCATTAATAATTAGCTTGCAATGGCTTGCAACTAAGGGCTCAGCCAAGCAGGACACGAGCAGGAGCGACAAATCGCAAGGGAGCCTGTCAGCGAGCGATCCCGCCTGACGAGGTCCAGTCCAGCGCTGCCCGATAATTCTCTCCGTTGAATCGTGAATATCTTCCCCTCCGTTCGCCAATAGCCTCTGCACCGAGCTCGACCAGCCCAACTCCCGTATTCTCATAGCAACTGTCAAAGAAGGCAGAAGGCAAAGCAATAGGGAGACAAAAACGAAAAAAGGAGATCGATTGGCCCGAAGATTCTGTTATTGAAGGCGGCTGCTGGATCAATCAGATTGGGTGGAGTCGCCTGTGTCATTCCCGCCTCGACCACTGGATTCTCTGGAAAGTCCCATTTATCGTCGCCTTTGCGGTGCGAGGTACCGTGCCAGCCTTGATCCGCACCCAACCCTCTCTCTCTTGCCTTCTCTCTACAGATACTTCGTACCTCCAGCAACAAACATCTTCAACTGTCACTCTCAACTGACTCTGACGGCGAGAGACTCACTGTCACCGGCCCCTCTATGTTTTGTTGGCATAGCCGCGATTAGCGATATTTCTGGTACTGCCCTTTTGTTGTTCGGGAGGTTGCGCGAAAAAGCACCTCGTATCTACGGACAGGCCGCTCAACCATCGCATTTCATCATATTTCTCCTTCTCTCTCGGCCATGTTTCCTCTCTCTTTCTGAGGCATTGTATCATCCTCTGCCATTTCGTTGCGCTCGCTCACACGGCTGGAAAACGTTTGCGAACCGGTTGACAAGGCTGTGGCCTTCGCCATCGACGCATCACCCCAGGCCGAACTCGACCACACCAACGAGACGCCTGCTGCGATCGAGCGCACGCAATACAGCAACCAGTTGGGGACTTCCACCTAGTATACTTGGGAATAACGCCTGAGAATCTAAAGGATGTCGATGGAAACCTCCAAGCAGCTATCGAGTATAGATCGAGATCTACCTGGTCTGGGGGAGGAGAACTTTGATGATCCGTTCTTGAACCAGCTCTCTGACGCTGAATTATCCGGACTCCATCAGGTACCAACACGCTCCTCCTACCGGGTATAATCAAAGTAAACGTAGAGATAGACGTTAGCTGACAATGAAATAGACAACTCCTGACTATTTCTCTGATTCCACGAACCATCCTGGCTCTTACCAACACCATCAGCATCCAGGTGTCTCTACAAACCCCAGTGACCTAACGTCGCCGGCTTCTCAGTTAGATTTCTTGAGCCCTACCGAACACACTGATCACGGGCTGAGTGACTTCACACGCTTGACCTCACCAGACTTTGATGCTCCCTTCTTTGCCTCTGCAGACCCACACTTAAAGGCCGAAGTGGTGGATGATAGCAACGTGCTCTGGGTCAACCCTCATGATATCGACAAAAGTTCGCCTGGCGGAAATAACTATACACCACAGAAGAGATATGTTGGGGTTGGAACTGGAGCTTCTCAGCTACTGAGCCCTGTACCAACGAATACGCCAAGTCCTATAATTAACCCACAGGTTGACCAGCGTGGGCAATACCCAGGCAACGAACACACTGCCGTATCCCCTCAGTCTATGACTGGTGACAAGCCGTCGCGAATGACTGCCATGTCTTCTCACCAACCCCCTACGCTCATCACTCCCAATAATGTCAGCAAGTTGCACCAGGCGAATAATATGTCTGGTGTGGACCACCAGGCTAGTCCTATTGTGAAGGTATCGAGCTTCACACGAGGCGATTCCCCATCAAGAGCGGGCGACCAACTAAACTATTCACCAAATCAACCATCTTTAATGGATACCGGGCGCCTGTCTCCTGCTAGGGAGGCACGAGAAACCTTCTTCGACAGTGATGATGAGGACGAAGATGAGAACGATCACAATAATAATCACAAGAAACCTTTTTCCATACCACCTCCCGCAAGACGTCTCGAGGATGGCAGTTGGTCCCGAAACCCAAATACCGGACATGGTGGATTGGACCCCTCTGCAAGAGAAGATGTCTACGTTCCAAGCTTAAAGGAACTAGCCGCGCAACGGGAAAGAGATGAGAGGAACGCTGAGGTCGCAGAATGGATAACGCGTAGCGAAGCACCTAGCGAGGCTGATGACAACAAGCTTTGGAATTTCCGGTCCCGGCGCAAAAACAAGTCCGATAAAAATAAACGGCGGGCTAAGAGTGCCGGAGACCCTTTCTTAGGCAAACAAGACGGTTTCAGCTCCAGGTTTGCCTATCAAGACTTTGACGACTCCGCCATCCCCGGTCCTGGAGTACTTATAGACGAGGATAGTGGCATGGAAGATGACGAAGATGACTCTTCCGCTGCATCATCCAGTGTTCCCGAATCACCTCCCGCCAGCGTCCACCCCGAGTTTGTAGATGACGATGAGTATAATGCTCCCACGACTATCCCAGATGCGGAACTTGAGCCACTACCAAATCAATTCCTCCGCGCTCGACCATGGCAGGATTCAATAAGGAATACCCGTGATGGTACTACAAAGTTCCAACCTACAACGTCCAACGCTGCTATAATGCGCTTCTTGAAGCGTGCTGACAGTACCGACACTGCTTCTCGTGCTGCTACTTGGGGAACGCGCGGTCCTAGTGAATGTGACGTTGAGAGTATCATTGGCCCGAATGGTCGGTTTAGCACGATCCGAATCAGCGAAAAGAAAAAGGATAAGCCTATGAGGAGAAACAGTCTCCTTGAACACGCTAGAGGATTGTTGCCTAAAAGGAGCAATAGCAGCTCGAAACGAAAACATCAGCTGGATTCAAGTCAGCGAAGCCTAACTCCGGAGCAACCGCCCACATCCTCTTCTGACGGGGCTACACCGAGTACCACCTCTCTTGTTCCTCAGCGCAAGCCTAGCTTTAACAAAGGCAATAAGCATCACACGGGAGGCGCGATACTTGCAATGACTGGACAAATGGCTACTGTTGGGCGTGGAGGAGGGGTCGGCGTTCCGCCACCTGCTATGACAAGCTCAAGTACTCCTTGGAGCCATATAAGGCGACGAAGCAGAAGCAAAAGTGATCTTACTAAGGGTGAGGCCCCTGGAGGTTTGCTTGATCTTATAGGAACCCATGGAGGACCACCTATCCCTACTCTTGCCTCCCCAAAACAAGAGAAGGGAGCTGGTGCAAGCCCACTTCAATCGAAATCCCCTCACGACAGGCCGGAAGAAAATGACCTCGAAGCAGATGACGATGACGAGGATATGGGCAATGAAAACGGAGTCACCATGGAGTTCCCAGTTCGATCTGACCCGATTGTGCCAACGCTCGAAGGGTTCAAAACTCACATTCGACAGCTTAACCCTCGACTGCAGCCTGCATTAATTGAGAGAATCGGACAGGAACAAGTCCGACGATATAAGAGATTGGTTGAGCTTAGGTTAAAGCACACACAAAACGTCAGCAAGAAGAGTTGCAGTGCAGGAAAACACTGCTTTGCTCAAGGCGGCGATGCCGTCATGCTACCGCCTAGAACGAGCCCTAAAGACCCCGAAGCTACATACGCTCAGTTCCAAGTCCCCGGGGCCGCGGTTACTCCTGAAGACGTGGCATCCTTCGGTGAAGGCGCGATTACGCCCGCGTTATTCCCGCCAGGGGTCCCTTTGCCACCTGTCAGGCGCCTCCCTGCCGAGTTTGAATGCTCTTTATGCTTCAAAGTAAGGAAATTTTTGAAGCCTTCCGATTGGACAAAACATGTTCACGAGGACGTCCAACCTTTCACTTGCACTTTTCCCGACTGCACGGAACCAAAGTCATTCAAGCGAAAAGCTGATTGGGTGCGGCACGAAAGCGAACGGCATCGGCACCTAGAGTGGTGGACATGCAACATGCCAGACTGCTCTCATACTTGCTTCCGCAAAGACAATTTCGTCCAACATCTTGTTCGGGAGCATAAGATGCCTGAGCCGAAGGTGAAAGCAACGAAAGTTAAGGGTAAAAACCAACAGCAAGACGGTACCATTGATACTCAAGATGCCGCTTCTCATGCGCAGGCTGTAGAGCAAGTTTGGAAATTGGTCGAGGTTTGTCGTCAAGTTACAACCAAGCAGCCGATGGACGAGGCATGTCGATTCTGCGGAAATGTGTGCAACAGCTGGAAGAAACTAACAGTCCATATGGCTAAGCATATGGAGCAAATTGCAATGCCCGTACTGGAACTGGTGAACGACAAGACATCCAGCGGAGGGGCCATTGGCCCTTTGGGCCAGGCAAAGGGCCCGGGAGCAGCTACGCCACAATATCCGGCCAATATGTGGACTCCAACCCATCACACGAATCATAGTGTAGAAAGCACCCAGACGGCTCGTGCACCAAAACCCATTACCTATGGTACCAGTGCCCTCTTGACTGAGGCATTTGGGCTTCCTCGTGAGCCAGCACCTAAGGAAGTACCCCAGCAACAAACTCCTGAATATGCGGTTTTGTCGCGGGCCAACCTAAAACAACAGCAGTATACAGTCGGGCGGTCATACACTATGTCTCCATACCTGCAAGCCCAGCAACAGCAATACCATCAACCCCAGGGCCACCCCCATAAACAATACTCCAACCATCTCAATTCTGCCTCATACCCTCCGGCCTTCTCTACTGTCACTCAAGATCAACAATCCATTAACGGGCTTCCCATGCTTCAACCCCTTGCTGAACAAGGAGAACCTGGACTATCGGGCAACGATATGTACGGCAATATGGGTGGCATATCTTCCACCGCACCAATTATCGACACTAAGTTTGAGGGAGAGCAATTATTCGCTTCCCCGGTTGATAATGGATCCTACATGTATTCTTCAACGGGCCAGGAGACGATGGAATACAGCATGGGTGATAACGGAATGTCTTACCACCCCATGATGACTGCCGTGAATGGTGGATACATACAAAACCCGCAATATAATCAGGGAAATCAGTGATTGAAGTCAAGGTAGGGCGTTTGTGAAATGGTCTCTTTTTATCTTTGGTGTATTTGAATTGATGGTTGGGGAATTTCGTTTTGAGGCGCTGAATCCTTTGTTTTTCGGCTTTAATTTTTACCCAGTTTTGTACACTTCCGTTTCCGATTAGTTTTCCGTTCTTATTTATAGCTTGTCTTGACTCATTTACACGTCATAGCCTTAGCAGCCCTCAATTTATGCCCCTGAATGTTCTTTGGATAATTCTATGTACCAACAATTCTAAAATATCACTAATTTTCAATTGATTTAGCTATTTATGCGTCCTTACTCTGTCCACGATACTCAACAGGGCGTTACTATATATGACTTTGCTTCGGGCAGCGGGTAATTGCTACCGCCACCGTCGTCAGGATGGATTGGGTAACAATTTCATACCCCCCGCGTCGGACAAATGGAGCCAGGTAAAAAGGCGAAAATATGTTGGTGGTTAACTTATTTCCAGTGCAAGTTGTGGGCAACATGGCACAGCTCCCTGGCTAAGCTGTGCTTTTCCGAGGAATTGAACATTAACATAAATACAGCCAGTCTACAGGAAGATACCAATCTAACAGAGAAGACTGTGTAACTTCGAGTTTCTAACTATGATCACCAACAGCACCAGAACGGAACTCCAGGGGTGACAGGTTTAACTACCGAGTGGGTCGTCATAATAGCTCCCCGAGGGTTTTTCCTACTGAATAGTTTTATATACATGCATGGTGCGTGGCGGCCCCTCTACTTCACAGTTCCCCTTTTTTATCTGGAAGCTCCGTACGTCCTAGTGTGATTTAGCAACGCCCAGAAGCTCGACTTAATGATTCCCTATTCAAAGTGTGATGTTAATAATGTTTTCCAGTACAGGGAACGACTCTTCTAAGATCAAAGACAACGAGCATGCGATGACTTCATACCCATATAGTCCATGTTCCTGGTGATAGTTGCACAGCGATGGTTATCTACCAGTGGGTTGGCTCCGAGCCTAAAGTCAACAAAGTTTGTCCATAGTTTGGTGCCTGGGCTCACTAGTTAACTATTGATCCGTTCATCCATGCCCTGTTGAAACGGCACTCAATTGAGCGGGAGCTTCCACACCGCCAACCGCGGACGATTTCATTTGCTAGCTATACTACGGATGCACTCGGGTGGGCTGAACATTAGCATCGATCGGATATTCCCAAGACTATGGGACTCATCTACATACCCCGAGTGATACCAGTGGACCTCATTATATTCAGACCATGAACTCAAGAAGAATCTACGTTTCAGGACTCAACGCTGCATAACTGGGTCATGCAAGCATGCTACGATATGTCTATATAAAAGGGGGTTGCCTGCTGGCCTTTGGCCCTTTACCCTGACGATATGCTCAAGCAATTCGTCCACTCTTTTCAACCATGTTTCTCCTCAAAGGCGTTATCGCCGTCGCCGTCCTTTCGTTACTTTCTTTCTTCTGCAGTATATGCAGCCCCTTTCTCTAAGCCTGATAGCAGTTCAGATGTTATTCCTGATTCCTATATCGTGGTCTTGAAAAAGGATGTCTCCAGTGATTCCTTCGACTCCCATATAAAATGGGCCAACAATGTTCACAAGAGGAATGTGGCCAAACGAGGCCTCTCGCTCGAGGGTATGAAGCATACCTGGGCCATGGGCGAATTCAAGGCATACAGCGGAGCCTTTAGCAGTGAAACCATCGACGATATCAAGAAGCATGAACACGTATGTCCTATCGTGATTTTTCCTTCGCAAGAACGCCTGTTGGTTAACTGTTAGTACGATAGGTTGCACACGTCGAAAAGGATCGATATGCCACTGCTCAGGGCTGGTCCACGCAGGAGAATCCTCCAAGCTGGGGACTTAGCCGCGTTTCGGACCCGAACCCAGGAAACCACGAGTACACCTATGATGGTAACGGTGGTAGTGGAGTAACCGTCTTTGTTATCGATTCTGGTATCTACATTGAGCATGAAGAGTTTGAGGGACGTGCTACTTGGGGCGCCAACTTCCTCGACGGCGATAATCGCGATCTCTATGGCCACGGAACGCATGTGGCAGGTACCATTGGCAGTGTAAGTTATGGTGTTGCAAAGAAGGTGAATCTCGTTGCCGTCAAGTGTCTAGATGGTAGGGGCAAGGGTCCTTGGAGCGCCATTATTGCTGCAATCCATTGGACAGTCGATGAGGCCAGGAAAAGGGGTATTCTGGGTAAAACTGTTATCAACTTCAGCCTTGGTGGTGAGCCCTCACCAGCAGTAGATGCTGCCTTGGTTGAAGCCCATAAAGCTGGTATCTTCATCTCAGCTGCTGCTGGAAACTTTGGTGTAAGTTCTGTCTTATCACTAGCAGGATTCGTTCATATAAGTTGTTCGGCGGCTGACATTTGATAACTACTATAGTCTGATGCTCGGAGCGTTACTCCCGGCTCTGCTTCATTGGTCTGCGTTGTTGGAAATTCAGACGAGAACAATTACAGGTGGACTGGTAAAGATCCCTCTAACTGGGGGCCTCGAGGTAAGCCTATCCCACGGGAGTATGAGCTTTTTTTTTTTCTTTCTCTTTCTTTATTATTGTATCAAGTGCTGACTTAGTACAGTTGATATCTTTGCTCCCGGAACGCGCATCATGTCTACCCTTCCTAATGGAGGCTTCGGTCCATCGACTGGAACTTCCATGGCTGCTCCTCACGTTGCTGGCCAGGTCGCTATTTATATCTCTCATGGTAACTTCGACCTGAGCGCTGCATGCGAATTCCTCAAGCAGAAGGCAACTCCCACGGTTCAGGACCCCGGCCAGGACACGACCAACCGACTACTAAGCAATGGATCTGGAAAGGGAGGTCCAGGGCCGAACCCAGACCAGAAAAAACCAGACCAGAACAAACCAGACCAGAACAAACCAGACCAGAACAAGCCAGACCAGAACAAACCAGACCAGAACAAGCCAGACCAGAACAAGCCGCCAGGCCAGAACAATCCTCAAGGATCCGGTGAGCCAGAGAACAGTCCACCAACCCCAAGTCCACCTCAAGGACCAAACAACTGGGGTCCATCGTGGTGGGACAGACCGAGCCCCGGGTGGTTGAACAGGCCAAATCTCGGGTGGTGGAATCGGCCGTACTCAGGGTGGAAGCCGTGAACAGGCGCAGGCAGGCTGCTGGCTTCTTTTCAATTTACATTTTCCGGTAGATTACTAGATGCGAGCCGGTCTCCTACCCGGTTAACTACAGAGCCGTGAGAGCAAGACTCTCCAAAAGGTTCTCATTACTCCGTACATTCTTTGTCCAACCGCCTTTCCTTAAGTATCTACATATTTACAAACTTATTTCTCCTCTTGTTTAATTAATTAGTGTTGAGCACATAACTAGTCTTCAATTCAAGTTCACTTTATTTCGATTCGGGCCTCGAGCAGACTCGGTTAATTAAGTGCTGGGTCTGCCTGGCTGAGCCTCTTTTCGTTTATTCTTCATTTTTATATCAGCCCCCTTGACTTGCTCTTGCTCTTGCACTGCCTCCTACCCTGCAGCAACATCCCTGCAGCCAGTCACAGATACTGAATAAACAACTAATCAGAAAAATCCACATCTCAGCCAATAGCCAGCGCATATCGTCGGCGTCACTCGTATAATTGGCCCTTTCTGCGTAAAAGGCTGGCCGTTATGCAGTCTGCCTTCTCGTATGCCTTTTCTTTCCCCCTGACTGGCCAAAAAGCCGTCTCTGGCCAAGAAGGAGAAAACGCTGCCTTTTCTCGACTGCATCGACGTCTTTCTGATTGGTTTTGCGGTATCGCGGACGCTGGATGCCTTGCCATGGTTCGCAAACTGTTTAATGTCTGCAATGTTGTGCCAGTTCACACCAAACCGCCAAAAAAGATGTTGGGAGGATATCTTGTCGCCCACAGCCCCTTATCCTCTACCTCTATCCCTTTTCTTCCCCGTCTTCCTCTTCTCTCGAGCCACGAGGTGATGAGAGTGCGGGATCCTGCTTGCTGCAGCCTTGCGTCCTCAGTACTACCTACCTACCTCTCTTTTTCTCCTATATCAAAAAGGGAACCGAACTGAGTGAGATCCTTCCGGCGCCTCAAATGATCTCTCATTGACACTGGCACTGGAGTTTTAAAGAGCATAGACTTGAGTTAACTATATATACATACATGTCTTTCCTTGTTCATCCCCTATCTCTTCTTGGTTGAGCTTCTTCTCTCTGGATCGCTTTTTTGTTGCAAGTTTGATGCCTCTACTGCGTACAGACTATGCTAGCCCCCTTGATGTACTCGCCTTCACCCTGACGTCCCGGGCCATTCCAAGGTATTGAGCACGGCGATAGTTACGATATTATATCACCTCCCCTTTTGGATAGCAGTGTATTCCCTCTCCTTTCCTTGAAGCTCAATTTGATTCGAATCCAACACTACTTCCAACACCTATAGTTCTGTTCATACAACTGCCACAGACAGACAGACAGACAGACAGACAAAGAGACAATGCTCCCCAACAGCCAGTCCTTTCTAAACACCTTCCCACCACCCCCTGGGGCCTCCTCGCCCATCCAGACCTCCCAAGATACGGACAGAAGCCTTAGTGCAAGCCAGTTTGAGGCTCTCCAGGGCATCGGGCAGGATGAGAATTCGATACAGCAGCCTCAATTATCCTATCCCCTCTCTGTTAGCTTCTCCGGACAGGAGTCAAATACACAACCGGCTACCCCTTTGCATCCCCCTACCGGCGAAGCACAGCCTTTGTACGGACAAGGGCAGAACCTGGTCGTCTCGCCGGACTTCTCTCCCTGGCACAATGGTACCAATATATCCCCTATCAGTGTCCCGGAGAATCGGCCGTGGAACTACTTCTCGCGTCAACACAATCCACATGGCAGCTATGTAACACATGCAGATATTGTGCAGCAGTCACACACAAACGGTCTACAGTACCAGCATCCTCCACCGCTGACGGCTACTCCATGCCCCGCCGGCCCTACTGGAGGCACTGAACTGCGGGCCCGGTCCCTTTCGGATTCAGGGTATATGTCAAGGTTTTCCTTCGGCACCCCAGGGAATATTTCGTTCCAAGGAATTATACCCAATATTCCACAGAGTCCTCAAACAGTATCTTTTAATGGTCTTGCCCATCCAGGATACAGCCCAAGCGCTCAGTATAGCCCGGAGGCCAGTCCACTGCCTGGAGAGCAAACTCCGCAACCAAGGACAAGGAGGAAGAGAAAGGAGCGTAAGGTTTCCTGTACACATTGCACTTGGGAAGGACGTTGTGCATCTGAACTCAAGTAAGTCCAACACTCTCTTGTCTTATAAATTATCTCACCAGATCACTGACCTTGATCGGTTACTTCTTTTAGAAAGCATATCCAGCAGAAGCACACAAAGCCGTACGTATGCAACGTCAATGGCTGTACTACCAATTTTGGGTCGTCGAGCGATCTGAGAAGACACCAGTTAAGCCGTCATCCATCAGACCGGACTCCGAGCTACAAGTGCTTTGCAACGAAAAAGAAATCGTGCCTTGAAAGTTCACACATATTCAATAGGCGGGATAACTTCAAAACACACCTTGAGAAAACCCATGGTCTAACCGAGAAGGAAATAGAAGAGCATTTCATGTTATCTAACAAGTGGCTCTTCGGCCTCAGAGGGGGCTCCATGGCACAGAATGAAGTGTCATTGCAGCCTTCAGTCCAAGTTGACATTCCCGCGGATTACAACCCAACGGAAGAAGCTATGGCGTTAGAAGAAAGTCTTGATATGGCTAGAGGAATAAAAAATGACATGGACGGCTTTATAGACGACTTCTTCAAACAAAGCGGAGGCCTCAATCCACCTGGTATTACAGGATCAATGAGCTACCCTGGTCCAAACATCACACCTGGAGACTTGTCCATTACTTTGGCTGGCGAGAATTTCCCCGGCAATTCAAACCAGCAGCCACAATATTTTCCTCGGTGCGAGAACTCTGACGAAAGAGAACAGTCTCTAAGAGCAGTTGAGCTGACCTTTCCTCAG